ATGCTCAGAACTAGGGGCAAAAACTAGGAATTCAATGCATTCAGATGCCTAGAAATGTCTGCATATCTGAATAATAATACCACTTGCATAGGGTTTATTATGTTCCTGGCGCTGTTCTAAGCACTGGACCCTTATTGACTCCTCAGCTCACACAGCCTTGTGGTGTAGGAGCTAACATTGTCCCTGTGTTACTCAAGGTCACACCCCCGGTCGTCAGCAGGACTGAGCTTCGAATCTACTAGGCAGCCTGGCTTCAGGGTCCAGCCTTGTAAACCACTCCTCAATATCACCTCGTCTGAAAAGACAATCTCCCTCCCAAAGTCGGCCAAACCAGTGACGCTTCATTCTTGATACATGATTCTTGTGATTAACAAGAATATGAAAACAAACAATTGCAAAATCAGTTACTATAAGACAGAAAATTAATTTTGAGTAAGTCAGTAGAAGTAGTAAGTAGAGAAATAAGCAGTCATGCCCCCTTCGATAGGTATCCTGTGTGTCCGCTTTTGTGTCTTGTTTGGGAATTACTATTGCTATCAGCCGTTAATATTTAAAAAGCTTTTTCCCAGACAGACGCTTGGAAAGGATTATCTGATTGAATCACAACGGCAAACGTATGGGGGCCAATAGTAATACCAGTCTCATGTTACACATAGGGAGACTAAGGCTCAAGGAGTTTAATAATTCATTCAACCCAGCAGTGTTAGGAAATGATAAGGCAGAGATTTGAACCCAGGCAGTCTGCCTACAGAGCCCCCACTATCTGTCATTATTCCTGTCACCATAATCTGTTATCTCCCATTGATAACCCCGTCAGCTTGACTCAAACATGGAAAAGAGACGTTGTAGACTCCATGAATATAATGATTTTAAGAGCTTTATAAAAGCATCTTTTACACTTTGGGACAGAATAGATTCTTGCATTTCCTTCCTTTTGAGCCTAATTTATCTTAACTTGATAGGCAGAGGATATTTCATAATGCTAAAATATAAAATGAGAAGTATATAAAATAGTTCACTTCACTTAATTTTGAATTTAACTATATTATATATGTCATTTACCTGGTTTTATTTTCTCCATTTAAATTGGTGACGAGACTTAAAAGACATCATTTTAGCATAAATTTTTGAGAAATCAAATCAGGGCCCTATAATAGATTTGTTGGACTGGGAGAAATAATGGATTCTCTCATCTTAAACAATTAGTGCTTTTTGTTTAGTGTTAGCAGGTTAGCTTCTTCACCCTGGTAGATCATTACCAAGATAGCTTTGTGCTTGTGACTAGAAAAACTATTATTATCATCGTCATTATTATGATTATTGCATTTTCCATGTGTTCAGCAGCCCAGTAGTTTCACTTACCGAACTGGCTGGTGTGCAGCACACACACAAATAAAATTTACATGAAGAAGAACAGCTGTGTAAAATATTGCCTTTGGAAAGTCAAATTAACTGAGACAGTGATTATAGCATATGAAGCTCAAGGCATAACCGTTAATGATCGTACGACCATTTCTCTCCCTCATGCAGTATTGTAATGTCTATTGCCCTCGGAACCAGAAGACAGTGCATTCATGGTAGCAAATGCTATTTCCTATCTTGTAAAACCGGTTTTATTGCAACCTCCCACTTTTAGTTACTGAAAACTTGCTGAAAATCCTCCTTAAAAGCTAAAACTTTTACTATTTGGCCACTTCAAAAAGATACGGCTTAAGTGAAAAGAGAGTAATATTTAAGTTCTAAAAATAAGGCAATGCTTAATTTGGTGTATTAAAAAATTACTTTTAAATGAGAGCAAACTTTTTAAATGTTGGATTGTATAAATGTTGCTTAAGCAACTCTTACATATCGGAAAGTTCCGGTTTATAGTCGGAGAAGGGTAAGATGGCATTTCTTTTCCCCCCACTAGCACACCAGGATTTAAGCTTGAGTCATTTGGACTTATTTAATGAGCACATAAATCATAAAAAGGTTGATTTTTTTATATTACATTTTAGACAATTTTATTTTCAAATGTTATTTAGATCTTAATAGGTGATTAAAATTAGTGATAATGTACCTGTATTCAAAGTCATCATCTGTATAATTTTAAATCTCTGGTTTTGCCATTTCATTTGGTACAAATCTGGAAGTTGTCAGGGAGGGTGCTGATACAGGTTTATATTACGTTGAAAAGGGCAAGTTATTCCTTAGCCTTTGTTTGAATTCCCCAGGTATAATCCCTCTAACTTGCCTGAATGTTAGTGTGATCATTTCATTCTACTGTTAGTGGCTCTCTTGTTAAAGATTTATGCATTTAAAAAAAAAAAACCCTAAAACTTTTGTTTTTATAGTACTTCAGAATTAACAAAGCTGAGTGTTTTCATTGACATTATAATATTTGATCCTCACAGCAACCCTGTGAGGCTAACAGGACAGGATTGTCCCCATTTTACATACGGGAAAACTGAGGGTCCCACAAGTTGCATGGCACATCCAGCGTGAATAGTATTACTGCCACATTGACCTAAATCCAGAACTCTACATGCCGAGCCACCATGGTCCTCTGATCAAAATCAGGTAATTTATAAAAATCAAATCTAAAACAAATTGTCCACTTTCATCTGAAATTAGAAATAACTTAGGCCTTACTCTAAATTTGCTACGATATTTTTCAGATTAAAAAACCAGGAATATTGTGCAAAATTGGAGTATGAGGAAAAAGTCATTTTAATTATGTTTCAATCCATGCTTATTTAGACAATTACTTCTTTTAGTCATATTTCAATTATGGTTTTCTAGCAATTATTTTAGCTGATAGAAACTTAGTGTGATAAATGTACATCTATGATATTCCTGAGGATATGGATTGTATAATTATATTAAAATGTGTTTATATGTTTATGTGTATACTTACATGTTTTCTCCACTGAGATGAAGAAAAAATTTGTTCTAGGTACACAAGCCTTTGGTATTGTACTGTCAATCCAGATGTCTATTTTTTACATTATTTGAAAACAAAGCTTTAATACATAAATAGTTAAGAGAATCATTCCTCAGCTTTATATAAACTAGCAGGATGGAAATACTTAGCATGGAATGAAGACATAAGATATAAGGCTTTGCATCTACCATTCCCACCAATAGATTACTTAGAACCTGGGCTTGAAATGACTCAAGAGGACATGCCATCTGCTTTCATGGAGTCAATGTACCACGTCCCTCCAGCTCTACCATGTCCCCCCAGTTGCCTGTGCTGAACCCCTCCTGAGACTAAACCATTTGTGCTCTGTCAATCACTCCCTCTCTCTCACTTCCTCTCTTCTCCTGTCATTTCAAGCACTAGTTTTGGAAATATGGTCCCATATGATGCTTCATAATTTTTTTCTACTAAGAAGAATTTTCAGGAAAGGCAGGTGGATCTTTCTCAGCCAATGGATACCAAAGATTTTGTTAAATTGATGTTTATTGAGAAAGTTTATCATAAAAATAAAGTTCCTGTATTTTCACCATGATCAGCTATCTCTGTTAGCAACCTGTGACATAATGTCCATAGAAATGTTTACATTTCCACCTCATGTTCTTCTTATACTGACACTCAAACTGGGAGCCCTTCACAGAACTTGTGTAACATGACCATTGAACAGCAGACAGGTTGATAATGAGATTGCTGCCATGACTAGGCTATCTCCTGCTCCCAGAATCTCTAGCAGTCAACAGGCCCTCACTGTGTTTGTATCCTTCCATCCTCAGTTCCGTTCCTTCTATAGTTCTCTGTGCATGGGAGAAAGATGCTTCAAATATGCAGCAGAGTCTCCTTTTTGGGAATGATAGTTGACCATAGAGACACAGATGAGATGGCTGCTTCCATGCAGAAAATACATTTTTGAATTTTACATCTTCCCTTTGTAGAATAATTTGAGACTAGCTGTGGCAAAGTCTAGAGCTAGCTTTATGATATTGTTTAATGTGTTTTTTTTCATAGTTGATCAAACAACAACAAAACAAAACAAAGCCAACAAAAAGCAACCTTTTTGTAAATGTTTGACGAAGGGACAAGTAACTATGTCATTTAATGGAATAAAACCGTAGTTTCCACAGTAATTTTTAAAATTAACTTTTTGTAATAACCATTGCTGGAAAAGAACTATAAAGTAACTCTGAGTACCGTGATATTAAAGTATAACTAGAAATTCCTTCACATAGCAGAAATCAGTCTTTCTCTCTATCATCCACATGTCTGCATATAGAGGTATATGTATATATAGATATATATGTATTTATCAGGTATTCTAGCTATCCGTGTATTATTCTTTCTTCTACACAAACATTTGGGGACTTGAGTAGGTATGAAAATCCAGTGTAAAACTGCCTTAATAATATTTATAATAGCATTAATAATAATGCTCTAATCAATTTTATGAGAAATTTTGGGCATCTTTAACATTTGGTAATACATTGTACCATCCTTGTTTTTCTCCCCCAATATTTTTTGTTGTTATGAATAATTTTTCTGAAATATAATTGGGTCAAATAAGCACTCAATTTTTAAACTGTTTCAAGAATGGATTTTATGGAGCCAATTCCCAAGAGCTTTCTTGAAGCTGTAGTCTGATTGTATTCCTGCAAAGAGTTTTCTTCACTGAGGCCTGGCATGATGTGTTTATGATCTCTGGATTATGTTCACCATGGCTGTGCAAAGAACAGGGATTCCAGAATCATTTCTTGGGTCTGAGAGGGGTAGCATCACTGGTTAAGATCTTGTTGGTCACAGTTGGAGTCATTTGGATAGTTGTGCAAGTGGCTCCAAAAATATTGTGAAATGATAGAGAAAAAAACCGATATATTTTAACAAGCTGGAAACACCTGATTATGATAGTCCTTTAAAATTCAATAATTTATTTGATATAGCTAATATCAGCATTTTGAGTTATCCATTAATTTTTAATACTAAATTGTGTTTGGAGTTTGACGATTATAGCTATGTCATGAAATGATTATATTTTCTTCTTCCTTTGTAGGTAACCCATTAACCAAGGATAAATCAAGTGATCCTCAAGGCTGATTACATTGAACATATCATAGAAACTCAACTGCTGAGGTGATCTTGAAGGAAGATTTTTATACCGCTCAGAAGATGCACACCAGAGTCTGTTGTTTCAAAGGGATTTCATGGCTCGTAATTAGCCCCTTCTTGAAATCAAGACTTTAAAAAAATCAGACATGAACTTCTACGTCATGAAGATTTCCTCAGATTTGAACTGTGTTCCACTTGTTAAATTGCACTTGCTAAAAGAATTTGAAGTTGCTGCCTGATTGGTGTTTCTGGAGGATGTCAGAGACACTCACCTTTTGGGCTCTTATCTCTAGATGTGACTGCTTTTCTTGTTTCTGAAAGTCTCCACAGTGCCCTGACCTTCTGTCATGGGCATGTTCCTGGGTCCTGTGCTCATTGGCTAGTGGGACTGCACACGGCTTTAGTGACATTTCCTTTGCAAACTTCTCCTCTGGCATGGCGTAGACTGAGACAATTTTATTTGTACCTAATCTGGGAGCTCTGAAAGCCTACATGTTTTAACATCTTAAAGTTGCTTTTGTTAAAGGAATGGAAAATATATACCATTGATAATAATTATTGTTGGCAAGTAATAGTTACCTGAATACATCAATCATATAAGAATGTACAGACAAGCTGACATGTTTCCCCAAGGCTAACACACCACTGCAGCTCTGTCAGTTACATAGGTAGTACTTAGAACTGAATTACCATTTTCATTATATACTATTTTGTACCTCTAGAGCACTCGTTCCGTTTTCTTAAAGTGGGCTTTTTCTTTCATTCTTATGTTTACTTTTTCCCTTCACAGAGATCAGCAGTGAGCAGTCAAGTATTTCGGTAGCCTTCAGTTTCCAAAAATTGCCAGGGATGCACGTGGGTTTCTGGTTTCTGAGCTTGAAGAAATTATTCACTTAGATTTCTTCTAGTATTTTTTTAACTATCCTTATTATCTCATTTTAAAAGACCATCTCTTGCTCGATCCCCATGACTCTGTGAATGCTCATATATTTGTTCAGTCTGTTGATAGAATAAATCGTTCATTTCTTTGGTCTCAAATTTATAAATATTTGCTTATAGTTGTCCCATTCAAACAATGTCTTGGGTCTGTTTTTGTGCACATTTTTGTAGTCACTTTAACATTTGTGGTTTTCAGTTCTACAAGAAAGTCTTATAAATATTTAAAGGCCTTAAACATGTATGTACTTTTTTTTTCTAAGTTATTACAGAATGTATAATTTTATACTATATGTTGTTTGTGGAGGGAGAGAAGAATGGAAATTGCATAGCCATTCTGTAATAATATCGTGTACACGTATAGTTTGAGGGAATGTAAAGCGAAAGATTTCTGTGTTTTACTCATTTAAGATTAATAGGAAAATAACTTCAGAAATTGTCCTAGTAGAGGTTCCATTATGTTAGAGAAGGTGTGGACATGTTTTGTCTTTTTAAAACTCGCTGACATGGCCAATTAGGTACATGTTGATTCCATGATGGAGGCTGACAGACCCTGGAGAGCTTCTGTCTGTAAGTAGGGAACAACTTTCAAAGACCAATACATTACTCAGAATCTTTTCTGGGCAGAACAAGTAAGAAGTGTAAAATTTGTTAAAAATTAAATTTGTAAAGTGTACTTTTGACATTGAACTAAAGTATACTGCCCCACAAGTCCATGGAATGAAATGACTTGCTCCCTTCATTCTATGCATTTATTATGCATAAAATTAGATGGTTCCAAGTAGATTTTGCAATGATTTCAAGACTGTATGAACTCATAAAGAAAGGAATAACAGTTGTGTTGGAGTTTCTGCATCAAGTATGCTATCATTAATTTCTTGGAACAAAGTGGAAAACTATATTATTTTGGAAATTATGAATTTGTCCTAGGTTTGTTTGAAATTATAGATCATGCTTCTCATTTTTTAAACTATGTCCTTTAAGACAACACTGGAAATTCTGTATTATATACAAGTGTAATACATGCATATCAATAGAAAAAATAAATGGAATTTCAAATATACTAACTAACTAGATTATCCCCAGTAGATTAATGTTGTGACTATTCAGAAAAGGTAAATAAAATTGAGATATAAAATGGACTTTCTTCATGGGTTACATTTGGAGAATCTTTTCCAGTGTTTTATTTTAAAAACACTTTAGTTACTATCCAGGAAAACTGCGGAATTCATGGGGAAGCTGGCATAAATCCTTCAATCTTCTTTTAATGAAAATCCATGGCAAATCTTGCCATTTACACAAGGTTCCAATATTTGATTTGCTTCTTTGCTAGGAAACAATTGAAATAGATATATTTACACTTGTGTTACTTGCCCACATCTTGACTATGAGCACAACTGGCATCATTTTGCTAGCAATCAGCAGGATTCATTTTATTATGAAAATTGTTAAAGATGCACTCTTTATCCTTTGAAATTCATTATATATGGAATTATGAATCAAAATATAAAACATGGCTATGACTTAGCCTTTAAAATTTTTTTATATAGTTTTTATTTTGAAACAGTTTAAGATTCACAAGAAGTTATGAAAATAGCACAGAGAATTTCTGTGTACCCTTTTCTCCATCATCCCCCCAGGATAACATCTAACACCACCAAGAACTTGACATTGGTACAATACTATTAACTCAAGTAAGACCTTATTTGGATGTCCTCAGTTTCACGTGTACTTTGTTTGTGCGTATGATCTTATCCTTTTTAATTAACTTGGCAAGCATTCACTATAGTATGTTGTAACATGGATTAGAGTATGAGTCAATGAGTGATTAATTTGTGATAACTTTTTTGAAGTTCTCTAGTTCTGGAATAACACCCTATAGCTTTACTTTTATACACTCCTGTTGCCTTAACACAATGGAAACTTCCAGTTTTAACAGACTACTGAGAATCTGCATCTATGGTTGAAATAAAAAAGGAATTTGACCTGTTCTTTATTTCCCTTAGCAAGTCCCGTGCTACAATACAATGCTATACAACTGGGTTGTGACTTTTGATAATACACAAGAGCTAATAGCATCAGTGATTAAATGGGACTTGATCCTTTGAAAATTTTGATCATTTTCTCAATTCATAGATGATACATCAATCTGAAGAACAATATATACAAAGATATCGAACAGTGTTTTTCATCATCCAGTCCTTTCTCATTTTGACTCCCTCACTTAGTTGGAGAGAATTAGAATGATGGCAGACATTCTGCTTAGAGATACTTAAAAGTTGGGGAGAGATATACTGGGCATCTCCTGATTCCCTTGCCCACATAGAGAACTCATAGTAGAACATTACTATTTTTATTAAGATAAGGGTTTGTCTGTCAGTCTGCCTGCCTTCCTTTCCTTCTCTTTTGTTTTGTATATGGGATGCTTTGAAAAAGAGTAGAGGTAGCAGATTTCTTCTTCATTGCTTTGACTTGCACTGTGTGAGACTGTGAAAAGTAGTGTAGATATTAAAGTTAATTATCTGGCACGTAACTGACAGTTATTAAAGTCCTACTAGGAACAAGTATATTTACCTAGATTGAATTTGGGGTTAGCTGAAGTTTACCCTTAAAAATGGCCTTTACAATCAGTTCAATAGATATTTTTTCAATGCCCTATGTGTGCATGGCACTATGCTAACCAATGGAAAGTGGGTACACAAAAGACTTCCAAGTGTTTCATATTTGTTTTCATTTTTTTCACATCTTTCTTCATTCTATGGCAAATTACTAAATGGTATGCACTTTGTCTTAAACATTTTTCTGGAAGGTCCTAATCCATTATGCAAAGTGGCTGAACTTTTTATTATTCAAGTAATGTGAGCAGGGCAGTGCATATCCAAAGTTGTGTTTTACAGATTTTAGCACAAATGTGGTTGAAAGCCTTAAAGAAGAGAGATTGTGGGCTTGAAGAGAAGTTAGAGGAACTAGAATAATCCAGGGGAATGCTAATGAAGGCCTGAGCTTGGACTATTACACTGAGGAGAATGTGAAACAATGGATATCAATCCTAGTTGCAATTTAAATTAAGATCCTAAAAATTATCCATGCCTGACCCTATTCTCTGAGATTCTCTTAATTGGTCTCAGATTAGAGTCTGGGCACGAGTGTTTTTTAAGAAGCTCCCCAGGTGATTCTAATCATTTTGAAGTTATTTTGACTAGTTCTAATGACTAGAACTAGTCATTTTGAGTTAATTTTTGTGTATGGTGTAAGATAATGGTCTACTTTCATTCTTTTGCACATGACTATCCAGTTTTCCCAACACCATTTATTGAAGAGACTTTCCCTTCTCATTGTATGTTCTTGGCTCCTTTGTTGACGATTAGCCATCCATAGATGTATGGTTTTATTTCTGGGCTCTCAATTCTGTTCCATTGATCTGTGTGTCTGTTTTTCTGCAAGTACCATGCTGTTTTGATTACTGTAGCTTCATAGTATATTTTGAATTCAGGGAGTGTGATACCTCCAACTTTTTTCTTTTTTTTCAGGATTGCTTGGCTATTCGGGGTCTTTTGTTGTTCCATATATATTTTATAATTCTTTGTTCTAATTTCATGAAGAATGGATTAAAGACTCAAATGTAAGACCTGAAACCATAAAACTCCTAGAAGAAAATATAGGCAGTACACTCTTTGACATCGGTCTTAGCAGTATCGTTTTGAATACCATATATATTCAGACAATGGAAAGAAAAGAAAAAGATAAGCAAATGGAACTACATCAGACTAAAAAGCTTCCGCACAGCAAAGTAAACCATAAACAAAACAAAAAGACAACCCACCAACTGGGAGAAAATATATGCAAATAATATATCCAACAATGGGTTAATTTCCAAAATATATAAAGACATACAACTCAAGAACAAAAAAACGAACAACTTGATCAAAAAATGGGCAGAAGATATGAACAGACATATATCCAAGAAGATATAAAGATGGCCAACAGGCACATGAAAAGATGTTCACCATCACTAATTATTAGGGAAATGCAAATCAAAACTATAATGAGATATCACCTCACACTTGTCAGAAAGACTATAATTAACAAGAGAAGAAAAAACAAATGTTGGAGAGGATGTGGAGAAAAGGGAACACTTATACGCTGCTGGTGGGAATGCAAACTGGTGCAGCCACTACGGCAAACAGTATGGAGACTTCTCAAAAAATTAAAAATAGAAATACCATATGATCCAGCTATTCTACTTCTGGGTATTTATTCCAAAGGACATGAAGTCACTAATTCAAAAAGATATATGCACCCC